TATTTAGGGGATCTTGTATATGAAATTTTATAGTGTTGCAAAAGAAAAACATGTAATTCTTATTAGATGAAGAATTACCGTTACAGGTTTTCCCTTTGCGGCACTTATTTATTACTGTATATCGGTTTATTGATCTTGCTATTTTTTTAAGTTATTAAAATATATGTAGCAATTTGGTAGAATTAATTCGTAACTGGTAAACATAATTTTGGTAGAAGTAATTCGTAACTCTGTTATACATAATCTTGGTAGAATTGGATTAATTTGTTCTGATATTTGGTGAATAAAATTCTAGTAATTCTTGCAAAAATAATTCTGGTAGAATTAATCCGTAACTTTGGTAAACATTACTCGATGATGTACAAAGTTACGTTTTTGATGCAATTTATTTATTAAAATCAAGAGAGTAACTTCGAACCTTTGTCGCACGTGACAAAGTTCGAAGTTACTCATTTGATTTTAATAAATATATTGCATCAAAAACGTAACTATTGTATGGTAGATGGAAATAGATAATCGATATCAGAAAAGTTGAATGATTGTTCAACCCCTTAATATGATAGTTGACAGAACACCCACCATTACAGGCAACAAATAGTAACACTAACATCACATGAAATACTTTAAACGTATACCTTTTTATGAAGTTGTTATTCTCAACTGGCTAACTGCTCTTACGAATTTTCCCGTGACTTATCAAGATGCTATAAAAGGTTTTAAAAATAGTGTTATAGACTCTTATAATGAATCTGAAAAGAAGCACATATTTAGACGATTACAGGTCAGTGTCAGTTCATTTAATTATAAATGTCTGTTGAGCTGATGAAAATTTTTACAAGTTGCTATAGAACGCAAGATATTGGTGACAAAATTTTTTTTCTCAAATAATGGTTGTGAGCCTTACAGTTTAGCCAACCGAACCACCTTTCTTATCTCAATAGTTCATGGTTATGAGCCTTACAGCTCAACCAACAAGCCACTCTTTTAAATAGTTTATAGTCGTGAGCCTTGTAGCTTAACCAGCAAACCGCCCTTTTAAATAACTCATGGTCATGAGCCTTACAGCTCAACCAGCAAACCACCTTTTTAGATAACTCATTGTTATAAGCCTTACAGCTCAACTATCAGAAAATTCAAAGATTTTCTTTTACTTTATTGGAATATTGAATTTTCCTAAGAATTCGATTAGCAACATCTATTAGAGTTTCTTTTTTACTAGATGAATACACTTTATTATAGTAATAATAATTATTAATAACTCATTTATATTTAAGCATGAAGAACTATTTGTGAAGAAGATAATTTTAAAAGTTCCTTTTCTAAAAATGCGCAGGATATTTGTTGATTAAAGCGTTAAGTTGACTAACGTTAAATATTTTACCCTTTTTTTTATAAATTAACAAAAAAAAAAAAATTAACAAGGTGATTATTTTAGCTTTTTTAAAAAAAGTGCATGCCTCTGTCATATCTTTAAATTCAAGACTTAAATTAGATAATAAAGTGTTTTCACTATAGAAGTATGCAAATGCTTTCCAAAATTCAGAACCATGTCGATTATGTATATTATAGCAAAATACCAAAGAAGTCAAAATATTATTTTTATACAGAGAATCTATTACTGCTTTTGAGCTCTCATAATCAAGCTTATCATTCAATAATTTCAAAGAAGTTAAGGTACTATTTTTGATGAGAATGCTTGTTAATGCATTCACCCCTACATAATTGAGTCTTGTTACACCTATTTCTATTTCTTTTAGTCTTTTGTTTGTTCATAGAATCATTTTTATCAAAGTATTTGTGATTGAAATCGAAATATAATCTTTGTTAATTTCTTCTTGTCTAAGCCATTTCTTAACGCCAAGATTTAAATCACGATCATCTACTTTTTTTAATATAACTTAAATATTTAAATAATAGTTTTGCAGTATTTGGAAATTTAAATTTAAATGGAATCAATAGTGCTTGTTCTTTAGTATTTAATCCTAATAGAAATGTTCTGATAATTTTCGCACTTGTAAGTTTAGGTTGGCACCATAATATAGAAATTATGATTCTACACCATTGACGATTTACAAGAAGGCATGAAAATAAATTTTTATAACTATAATCATTTAGTAAGTATTCAAATATTTAATAAGATATTCATTTGGTAAAAGGATCATTTTAAAGAATGCTAATTTTGTTGTTTAGAAAATTTAGATTATTTCAAATTGAACAGAGCCCATATTTATAATATTTGGAATTAATGTTTTTAACTACTCGGAAAAGAGAAATCATATTATTTTTAGAAAATTTTCACATATAATCCAAAAGAATTTACTAAAAAGAATTGAATCATTTCTTTGTTTAGAAGTATTATTGTGAAAATAGTTTTTCATATTTAATCATATAAAATCTTCTTATATAGAATTCCAGATTAAATCTTAACCACTCGGAGAATTTTTTGTTCAAAATTAGTTCAAATATTTATTAAAAAATTAAATTAGTCAGTTTAAAATAAAGTACAGCATATTAAACAAAGAAATGGAGCTAAATTATGCGTAGGAAGCATCTTTGTTTAGTTACTTTTATATTTATAATCGAATATCATGCGTATCACTTAAAATATTTAGAGAGGAAGATATAAAGTGTATTTTTATAGTTTAACTATAAAAACTTTTGAAGAATTTCTTGTCTTACACATTCTTAATAAAGCATAAATTCTAAAAATAGTTTTTTTTTAACTAAAAGTATTAATACATAAATACAAAAACATGTAGCAAATAATTTTAAATTACAAATTGCCACATTTAGGTGATAGTACACATAAAAATCATTCTGGTAGAAGAACAAGTATTATAGAACTATTTAGTATTGAAGTACCTGAAAATACTAGTCATGCAATCAGTAGACACAAATCTTAGGGTGGATACTATGCCTATGCCAAACCTACAGATAATCATAAAAGAGAAGCATTAGCAAGCGTTCTTAACAAGTTGATTACAACTGCACATGGACTTTGTTCATAATTCTTGTTAGCCATCAATAGTAACCTATTCGTTATTCGTAGAAACTAGAAAAGGTATAGCTTGAATAAATTAATAACTCAAGAATATTCTGTTCAAAATTGTTCTTGTTTCAAGAATCATTTACATGATTATGCCTATGCTGCTTTTAAATTACTCAAGGATATTAAACAAAGAAATGGAGCTTAAGCTCTTTTTTTAGTTATAGAATAATTATTCTGTTTAGAATCAATAGACTTTATTAATGACGTATAACAAAATCCAAATTGGAATTCTTCGAAAATTTTTATAGTTAAATACTTTCATTTTCCTCTCAAAAGTTTTAAAAAATAATCTACAGTGAAGTGATATGTATAATATTCAACTAGATTACGATTAAAATATAAAAGTGGCAACTAAGACTATTCTATATGCCATTTCTTAATTTAATTAAATTCTTGAAACAAGAGCATTTTTGACTAAAAAGTTCTTGCACTTTCTGGGTTGTTGGATTATTCACTCTGTACCCAATAAAGATTTGATTTGGAATTCTTTCTTTACAGACATTAGAATTCCAAATTGAATCTAATTAGTATCGATAAATTAACCACTTTTCAAGAATACTTTGTTCAAAATTGGTTTGTTTTAAGTTATGCGAAAAGCCTACGCTTTTAAATTAAGTAAGAAAAAACAAAAAAATAAGCGAAAGATTGGACCCGGTTAGTATAATTAAGTAATGGCATAAAATAGAATAAGCTATTTAATGACGTATAAATAGAAGTATTACCTATATTGAAAACCACTTGGAAATTTGCAAGAATTTTTTGCTCAAGACTTGTTTCAAAAATTAATCATTATGTAATTATGTGAAAAGTTTGTGCTGCATATTAAACAAAGAAGTATGCATAGGGATCGGATCTATTTAGTATAATTAAGTAATGTATAGAATAGATATTTAATTGCGCGAATTATAAGCACAAGATATTAAGCAAAACAGTACAGTTTTCGTGTTCATTTTGACAGCTGCTCAGTTACTTTTTGTCTTAGCGTCTAAAAAATTCTAGGGTTTTATCTAGAGATGTGACATGTAGAGATATTAATAAATCTATACATTTGCTTTAGGTAATGTGAGTAGAGATTATAAATTAGAACCTTTTACTTTTTTTTCTTAATAAACTCGGTGTGAAATATAATTCAATATCAGTATAAATCATGTGTCTTAATACTGTGATAATTTAATAAACTGGTTTTTATAGTTAAAAGAATAATTACAAATGAAAAAATTATTTATTGTTCAAAACATTTTCTATTTAAAATTCATTAATATTTGAAGACTTGTTGAATATCACGCGTATCATTGCTATTAAAATATTTGAGAGTATGATGGAAAGTCTATTGATTCTAAAAATAGTTTTTGCCTGATATTTATTTTGAGTAAATATTATGTAATTTCTTTGTTTCAAGAATTTATAGAAAATCCATACTCCTCAATTTGTCTAAGACCAAAAAATATTCATCGCCATATTTAACTTATTTGTATCCATTCAAGATCTCTTTCTAATACATATTATGTTTAAAAATTTTTTTCATGCCCATCATTATCATTTAGTATTAATTTAGATGATTTTTTGTATAAAAAGACGTCATATCTGATGAAACATTATAGAATTCCTATATGGATTTCTTTACGTATCATTAATAAGATGATAATAGTAATAGAATGAAAATTTTTACATGTTATTACAAAATCTGTATAACTCGGACTTTTGCCCAAATGGTTTATAGGTGTCTGTCTGGCTGTATTCATGAAAAGTGCACTTTCGAGTAACAAAAAGAATATTCATTTTCTTTGTTTCAAGAATTTATGGAAAATTCATTCGGAGTTTTAATGTAAGAAACAAATGGTATAAGACAGTTAAGTATATTCCAGACAATACTAAAAAGAATTAGGATAAAAGACCGAATAAGTAAGAAGCAACAAGACATTCTCTTACTAATACTAAGTAAAAATTTTCTTTGCTTATCAGTATGTTTAACCATCGAAGCCCATATTTTAGAAAATTGCATTTTAAATTGACTTTTTGTTTCAATGTAATTTATGTATTTTTTGCCAATCGGAATATATCACGTACACTTAATTCATCAAATAAAAGACTAAACAACGCGTAGCATTGCTTTTAAAATATTTGAGAGTAAAATGGAAAGTCTATTGATTCTAAAAATAGTTTTTGCCCAATATTTATTTTATTTGAGTAAGTATAATAATTTATGGAAAATCTATACTCCTCAATTTGTATAAGACCAAAAAATATTCATCACGTTAATTAATTTATTCGTATTCATTCAAGATCTCTTGCTAATACAAATTATTAAAAACTTTTTTCATGCCCATAATTATGCGCATTCATTTCTTTGTTTAATCCGTAATTTAATTAGTCTTTCCAAGTAGTTAATCTTTGAATAACTTATTCATATTCTACAAAATAAAGCAAAGAAAAATACAAATAAGTCTATACTATTTTCATCTTATAAACTTTATTAATGACACGCGTAAAGAAATCCATATTTGAATTCTATATCGTAAAATCTTGAAATAGCAGGCATAGGCGTTAATTCAAAAATCTTGCCCCCTAAAAATTTCATATCTGGTTTCAAATAATGCCCATGCGTGCCCCGAAATAATGCGCACCCCATTATATATTCATATTGAGTCACGTTATGTAAATAGTAATAAAAAGTACCAGTATGCAGATTATGCCATTAAAAAAAAATACTGTTAGTTATACTTGGTTATTGCTTTTGATAGAACACATGTATATACGTATGCATGTACCGGTACGTGCTGTGTTGGCATTGGACATATGTCTGATGCCAACACTGGGTACGTACGTATGAATATACACAAACGTCATGGGAATATAACTATAAAATACCATCCATGGGCATTATTTTGAAAACTCTATATTTATAAAATTCACTTATTTATTCAAAATAATGCCCATGAGCGTACTCAAAATAGCGCGCACGTAGTCAAAATAGCGTGCCTCTGCCTGCTATTTCGAGATTTTATAGTAATGTAAAAAAGGCAATTCTTGTAATAGTTCATGTATAAATTAAATTTTCTTTATTCCCATAATATTTTTTATGATTAACTATTCAGATAAAAGTAACAAACCATTTGGTTAGTTTCATAATATTTATTCTAAAATTATATTATTAAAACAGATTTTGTTATCATAATTAATCTTTTATCTTCAATATTATGCATCCAACAAAGGCACATACTTATTTTGATTCTTTTTTTTAATGAATTTTGTAACTCGTTAACATAACTTTTGAAATAAAGGGTGATAATTTACTAAATTATTGTGAACAACTTGAAGAATTTATTAATAAGCTTAATTTACACTAGGACTTAAAATTTGGTTTATTTTAAGAACGAACTCAGTGATCTTTAAATAACGTAAAATTATGTAATGACATTTGTTTACTAGCACAAAATTATCGCCTAGCCGAGTGCTTAATTATGACCATGGAAATATCACTGAGTTAAGTGTTTTTGAAATAATACTAATAAAGTTAGGTCATATGTATTCATAATCCAATCCAATAATAATTAAAATAATAAATGATTTTATCAATGAATTAATTGGTAATAAATAATTTTGGCCAGTATTCTAAAAGATTGACAATATATTTTGTGACGGATCTTTGCAGTAAACTCCACTCGTGCTCTGTAGTGCTATTGTATATCTTTTTTGATTGTTTTAACTTATTTTTTCTATCTCTTTTAATGTTTGCTCTCCGTTTGTAAATATCCAAAAGTTGTTTTACATGATTTATAGTGATTGAGCAGTCACAAATGAATTCCATTATATCATTGGGTTTGTGTTGTTTTCTTATACACATTATAAATGCGTGATATGGTTCATATTCGACTAAATAACTTTCATTTTTATTAAGTAGACGAATGTTTGCATTGATGATAGCCTTTCTGATATCTTCCCTGTGTTCGATGAAAAATGATTCATATATTGAATTGATTATTTCAATTTTCTCAATATCATATTTTGACAAAAGATCGATTTCTTTATACAAATTTTTCAATTCTTCCATGAAAAAATCATCTCTTTTATATTTACACGTATTATATTTTACGAAAGCTTGATGTACATAAACATCAATAATTAATAAAATTATAAAAATTAAAAAGAGTTTTTTCATGTTATTATTTCTTGGTTGTTGTGAAATGATACGTTCCACCATTTTAACTATATATTTTTTGTGATTCAAAAATTTTTGATTCTTCAACATCGAACAGAACCCCTATTTATAATCATCTGGAATTGTACTTATTAGAATATAATACACATAGTTTTACTATTACAATTATAAATAGCATATTACGTAACATATAAAAGAAAAAATATTATGTCACAAAGATTAAAGATTATTTGAAAATTTATTACTAATAAAGATTACGTTAACGCGTAGAATTTCTGCTCCATGCTTGTTAATAAGGTTAACCATTCGGACAACCCAACATAAAAATTTTTCATTCCAACTATTTTTATCTTATAAACTTATTAATAACACATAAAGAAATCCATATTAGAATTCTATAAAGTATTTAACCACTCGAAAAAGGCTGAATTGATAATAAAGTCTTTTATCAAGTACCAATTAGATTCACAGTACAAACTTTTCACGTAATTACATAATGATTTCTGAGACAAGTCCTAAGCAGAAAATTGCATTTTTTAAAAAATTGCCTCGAATCGGAATATATCACATGCACTTAGTTTTAGACCATCGAATAAAAAACCGAATTACGTATAACAAGACATTTTCTATTTTTTATTTAAAATTCATTAATATTTGAAAACTTGTTGAATATGTGTATCACTGCTTTTACAATATTTGAGAGTAAGATAGAAAGTCTATTGATTCTAAAAATAGTTTTTGCCCGATATTTATTTGAGTAAGTATTATGTAATTTCTTTGTTTCAAAAATCTATACTCATCAATTTGTCTAAGACCAAAAAATACTCATCGCTATATTTAATTTATTCGTATCCATTCAAGATCTCTTGCTAATACATATTACAATTTGAATTTATTTGCTATTAGATATATGTTATTCTAAATTTTAATTTTTATAATGCGAGCGTCACCAAATCACTTTAAATTAAATTATACTACCATTCAAATATCTACGCATACTAAGCTCCATATAGCAGCCGATATATTGTACATAATATTTACATGTGTTAAGTGATTCTTGAAACAAGGACAATCTTGTACAAATATTCTTGAGCATCTCAGAGGCATTTTCATCAATAGTTTGAATTTATTGTGAAATTTTTATCTGGTCTTTATACAACCACCGTAGAAACACTATACAACCGCTGAAGAGACTATACAATCGCCACAAATAAAAATAAAATTAGTCAAATGTCATGATCACATTACTCCACTTTTTTCGCGAGTGATACAATTAAAGTTGCGAACGACAACTATAGTTTACTCTACTGAATTTGCTGGTGTATTATTTATTTATTTCTACTCTTTGATTAAAATGTTTCTATGAAAAAGTTAAATATTAAAACAATTAGTGTTACATGGAGATATTCTTAATCATGCATGAAGAATGAAGGGAAGAATGTGTTTATGAATAAAATATTATTCTACATGTTCTACAAAAAAAAAAAAAAAAAGGAAAATACAAATAAGAATTCAATCTAAAATTATCATTTAGTATTAGTATTAATATAGTTAATTTTTATATAAACAAAGAGTAACATTAATCGTTCTCCAACCTTCATGAGTAAATTCTTGAAACAAAGAAATGAGTCAGGTGCTACAAAGTTAGCAACTTTATCTTAGAAAAGAACTTATAATTTTTCTAACAAAAACTTCTAACTTCCACGTATAGAATTCTAAATAAATTTAAATTAACCTTTTTGTAGTATAGTGTATAACTTTGTTTCTAATGAGAATTTATATGGTTTTATATAAAAAAAATGTATAAATACAGTAAAAAATTTGTTATCATTCTTAATTAAAATTAAAAAAAATGAGTGAAATAACTATATCATACAATGATAATATTGAAAAATATTCTATTAAATCGTTTGATGAAAAATATACAAATAGAAGAAACTTTGAAATTAAAGTTTCTGAATTTCTAAAACGTAAAAGATATCATATAACGCTTTCTAATAGTTATTCAATAAATTCAAATTTCAGATTTTTTAATCTATCTGATAGATTAGCATTACAAATTGGAAATTATAGAATCACAAGAGATGGAGGTCTTGATATTATTGGTGATAAAAATGGAATGCAAATTATTGTACAAGTTAAATTTAGTAGAACAGGAAAATATCCAAACCTTAAAAAAGCATATAAGGAATTTATAAACACTGTAGAAACTCGAAAATCTACTAAAGAGATTGGAATTTTCGTTGTAACAAATAATATTAACATACAAAAATTAAAAAATATCACTTCAACTGAACGTAAAATAATTATCTGCCACTTCAATAAACTAGAAGGATATATTGAATAGATAGAAGAGGAACATATGACTGAAATGTTAAAGCTATACAATGATATTTCTAATGCAGTAGATTGTATTAATAACCAAAATTTGTCGATGGAAGATTTAAAAATTCAACTTGCAATATTAAAAAGTCAATTAGAAAATATAAATGATATAAAAAACATAATGTCTTGTAACATAAAAAAATATGGCAATATAAAAAATCTGAATCTAGCATTAGAATTATCAAAATTTTCTAGTTATTGAAAATTATTATTTTACCCGATTTCAGTTTTTTTTCTAACCAAATTTAATAAACTTCATTGAACTAAAAAAACTATTCAATGATTGTACAAATAACCCAAATTCAATTGAAAATGTAATTGTTCAACAATGCTATTTATAATCTTTGGAATTATATACTCATTACACCAAAATATTTATATATTATAAAGCAATAAATCTTTTATTTAAGTTTGCAATAATATTTGTCTAGCAGTTTTTTGAATAAATTGAAAAGCAAAATGGTATTAATACTTTCAGAGTTATATGTCATATAGCATACTTTATTATGTAAATCATGTTTTTTTGTAATTCAGACAGAGTCTCCTTTATTTGTTGAAATAAAAGCTAGTGAATCTCCAATATAAGCCTAAATAAAAGACATTCAATTACACTAATGCTATAGCACCTGATAATTCTCTCATAGTCGAGATTACTTACTTACAACGTAAATATCTTTCAAAGGTGTCATTAATGCTATGTCTACAAAACTAATTTCTTTATATTTGGTATTGGTGTGTTGGTAACTTTATTGCTCAACAAAAGGATAATAAATAGTGTAGGATTGATTTTAAGAATTGCGAATTTAACGTGGAATTGGTATTCATTCGTTAGCTATGACAGCTTTTCTTGTTTAAATAACGTTAATATTGATTGGTATTCTGATTCGAATTATCTTAGTTTGATTTGGTTATTGGGTATATGTATAATACTCATTAAGTTTTTTGACTTGAGAATCAATTGTTTTGCACAATCAGGATCTTTTTGTAAAATTTTGGATATACACTTTTTTTGTCTATATGCATTTTTTTCTTCATTAGCTTCACTCAGTATTATGAATTGAAATACATAAGATGGTTTTGTTTAATAGGTATAATCAAAATTTTCATTAAATTTGAATTTTTTGAATCAATTCCGAATTAATTATTTTTATTCTTTGTAGTTTTATTTGGTGTTGAAAATGATATTTATCATTTTGCTCAGTTAGAATCTCTTGATAATTTCATTATTATAGAATGTACTTTTTATTTGTTCTTTCATTTTGTCTTTTGTCATTTATTATTAATATCAATATTAGAAAAATTGATAATGGTTAAACTTATATATTCAATCATTTTAAATTTGCCTTCTGAATATAAGTAATAAATTTATCATCATTTTATGGGATATAAATTGCTCAATTTAGCCTATCAAAAAAGTTTGGTTGATTTTTATAGTACCGGCTGAATTAATTAATACGGTTAAACGAGATTAAGAAAATTTTAAGATGCCAAGTACTTAGGGTTGAAAACTACATTTTACACGTAATTTACAGTAAATGTAACTTATATATCACATTATAATGTTTACAAAAGTTCAATGTTCCAATTATTTCATTTGACATATATAATGAAATTTTTATTAAATATGCTAAGAATATTAACTTTGTAGGAGTATATACCGAACTGTTTAGTAAAAATAGAGGGATAATTGAAACATTAATTGAGTTTAATAGGCATAGTTTAATCTAGTTTATATACAGTAGTTTATTAATAAAAAATTTTATTAACAAGTGTTGAAAATAATTTTTTTTACAGATATAAAAAGAATATTATTATTATAAATTCGTTAAATTCATTATACTTGAATTCTCATAGGCCGACATTCGTATAATTGGCTGATGTAGAGCTTGGATCCGGTCATCCATTTTTATATTAAATTTAACGAATATCTGTTAAATTTAATATGAAAATGGATGACCGGATCCAAACTCTAGGCTGATGTAAATCAATTGCCCGGATAATGTCTGGGTAACTTGTTTATACAGTTTAAAATACTTTGAGAATTTTTTTTTTTTGTTTCGTCGGGAGGATCAACAAATCTTAATTGACAGTTGATCACATGATTTGCTGCTTATTATGAGTTGATTTTATTTAAACTATATGCTTTTTTAAGTGGCAACGGTGTTCAAAGTCTGAAAAATATATCTAGAATAATTATTGGTGGTTGCGAAAGTTTAATGTTTTATTGAATGTAAATTTTTATTGGTTGAATCATATGATTACAACGAAATAAATTTTAATAATTTTTGATTAGTAAAATTTTATGTTATTGCTAATAAAAATTAAATTACGTGTTTGTAGGTATTATAACATGTTAAAACTGGTTAAATTTTATTATACAAACTAACTAGTTAAACCAACCAGTATAAATTGTCTTATAAAATTCAAAGTGGTCAGACTACTCAACATCTCTAGTTATTACTGAAAAAGATATTTAAAATTTATACAGGTTTTAAAGTAAAAGTGATGTTGAATTTTTATTATTGTTGTATTTGCTGATTGATAAAAATTTTCAATAAATTATCGAGTTGTTTCTGCTATAAAAACCTCCTTTTCCAACCTTTCAAAATTTTCAATATTTAAGAATTACAAAAATATTCTGTTAAGTTTATACATGCCGCCCACTCAAATTACAAATTAAAAATATAATAAAATTGTAATCACAATTTCAAATTCAATAAGTTCCATCAAAGAAATTATGATCATGAAATTTTGAGTAAAAATTATTCTAAAGAATTATTTCTTCTAGCTTAACAATTTATTCGAGTCTTCCCAAGCAATTTTTCCAAGTACGATTCTGCTGATTTAAAAGGTTTAAACAATGTCATTTGGGTTTATAAATTGTACAGGCAATCCTTTTAAGGTATCTTTAATATTGTCTTTATCGTCTTTGCTTATTTTGTATTTTTTGCCAATAAAGAACAAATAAAAATAAAGAATTGTATATAAAACCCACAATAGGCCTATAATAAAAATATGTAGTGCTAATTCTGGATTCGACAAATCCACAAAATTGTTGCAAGTATCAATAAAAAAATAAAGTATTGAAAAGACGACCTCAAGGAAAAAAAGGAAGCAGGAACAAAAACTTTAGAATCAAACAGAGAAAGACATTGCTCAGACAGAGAAACCAAGCTAGTATATGAAGATCGAGAAGTGTATTTGGTAAGAAGTCTACTTGTATAGATCGCTTTAGGGTGGATTGTCATTGTAGCATGACTCTTTGACACTTGAATGCTTTGATGTTTATTGTCAGCGTCTGAGAACAAGGTTGCAATTTTAGATTGTGGTCTCTTTGAAACTTGGTCCCACCAATTGCGAATTGTTTCACGCAGTTCTAACGAATCGGGTCTATTAGATAGATTAGCATCCCAGCACTTTATCATCAACTCAGAATAACATTTGGGAATGATATCTTGAATCCCAGGACTTCCAGGATGGACACCTCTACAGATATTAAAAACCAAAGTATGGTCATGTGCTACGTCGTGAAATAGTGGTATTCTAGTCGCTACCTCCCACATCACCATTCCAAAACTGTATATGTCAGACGCTTTGATATAGGGTTTGAAGCATAATACTTCGGGAGCAACATATAGTATAACACCATAAATCTCAGCGTTTTGGGAGATTGGCTTGTCTACAAAACGGCATAATCTGAGGTCAGCAATGCATTAATCATTGTAATAACCACATAATAAATTTCCACTATGAAAATCACCGTAAACCAGTCTGTTTGCGTGCAACTGCTGGATAGCAATAGCAAAGTTTGTTAGAACATATAGACGATTTTCCCAACTATCATTAGGGTTCCTATGAATATGCTCTCGTAAATCACCATCATCTATGTAGTGAAGTACTATGACATATTCTCCTGTATCTGTATTTCGAGATATTCCATATATGGGAGTAATATATGAACCGGAACACTTATGCAATGCATCTAGCTATTGATATTAAGTATAAAATAAGCAAAAGTTTTATTTATAACCATTTGTAAAGAAATACCTAAATAGAATACTTTGTATAAAAAGCCAGTCGAGATCTTTTGAGAGTTTCTTAAAGTCTTGAGGGCAACTTCTTCTGGTTTCCATCGTTCCCACCTGCCTTGTTTGTGATTCCATTTTTTAATTCTATCAATCAACCTTTTGGCTCTATCTATGGATCTATATTCTCCTTTTCCAATATGTAAGATATTTATGAATTGATTGTAAGGAATTCATTCTAATACTTTTTTGCTTTCATTTGCAGTATATCTAATAAAAACATCAATGTTTTCATTCCCACTTGTCCAATTTTTAAAGTTTTCTTGAAAATGCTGTGCATAGCAGAATCTGCACCAATTATAGTGGGTTTTTGGTTGATGACATTCTTCACATTTGCCAAACCATTGTTTTCGTTCTTTAGCAAATAATTTTGAAGTAAAAAGAGTAGAATATGTAATGTGATCTATTGATATAAATTAACGAATGAAATTAGAAAAAGAAGCGAATGAATGATAATTAGGTTTTTAAATGTGATACTGTACTTTTGTGGCTGTCACATGATTACTTTTATACATATGACTGTAAACCTAGTATATCAATATATTATAAATTCTTTCAATTAAGTAATCATTGCTACATATTAAACTTCATTTTTATCAAAACATGTAAGTTAATTGTGAGTACATTAAACACAATTATTAATAGACTGAATTTATAGTCAGGAATTGTATTATTAAAACATAAAAGTTTATTATAACAATAATAAAACTTTAATAATCAAATTAAAAATTTCCTTTATCATAGCTTAGTTTACACTATATTTAAGAGAACATTATAAACAAATCTATTGATCAATTTCATAAACTATCACTATACTATTTGGCCAAGGATTTTAAGATCAGTAAAAATTGAATTCCAAAGGAATTCAATTTCTTAGATGATCTTAACTCCCTGACCAAATAAACCTATTATAAGACAATAACTTGTTAGTATTGAGACATGAGTAGTGACAATAGTACAGTTAAATATCTGTCTTTAAATTAAGAACTGCTAATTATGCATATTATATAAATATCATTCAAGTTAAAGGTCTGATTGCAGCTATTTCGATACTAGATAATTTAATAACTTTAGCTAAAAATTTATTATATTTTTATTGGAAGTGATAGAAAGTAAATCAGAAAATAGGTAAATATAAATAAATATAAATTTATATAAATATATATTGTAATTGAGACTGCCATATAGTAGAAAGTGAGATTAGCTTATTCTTTCGGTTTTGCTGCGGGATCTAATCCAATATTTTTCATCTTAACAGCTATTTCGAATAAATAATTATAACATTTAGTCATGGTCTTTGCCTTTTCTGAATAAATAAAAGCAAACAACTGAATAACTTAACATATAATTAACCGAGATATTGATATTAATGCATACCTCCCCAAACATAAACACCATGACGCCGAACAAGGACAGCATTTGTTTCTGGGTATTTTTCCATTACCTAATAAGTTAATATAAAACAAACTGATTAGATTATTTTGATTGTTTTAAAAATCTTTCAACCATACCTGTGCCATTCCTTCTGTCAAATCCTCTTCATTTGGAGTATTGTCTATAATAGGGACCACTAGTGTATCATAATAATGCAAATTTTCTTTCCCACTTCCACGTCTAATACCTTTGATCATCTCTTGATGTGTAATCTCAAATGTTTCTCTAGTGTATAATAAAGTGACCATTACTACATTCTGGAAATGAGTGTGTATATATGCTTTGGCATTACGCATCGTATAAGCATTATAAAATAGTGGAGTGCAGGCTAAGGGATGGTACACTTCTGGCGCACGAAGAACAGTGCATGTTGAAAGTTCAAGAACAAACAGATCGGATGGATGCATTCGTTCTTTTTGGACACCTGTGATAATAGTAGATTTAAGTTTGTAAGATAGGAAAGTAGATGATAATATTAAAAGATTCACCTGAAGGTGCAATATATACATATTCCCTATTATTTGCCAAATAATTCAAAAAAATGAGATTTTTGTAGTTGATAAAGTATAATTTCATTTACTTACCCTTGGCAAATAGAAACTCCACCTCTGATAATGAATTAGATATATTTCATTACTCAAATAAATTTACAGTATATAACTTATTGATTTGTAGTCTTACCCAGTTCAAGTAACCCAGCCTAAGTCATAAAACAATTTGCATAACTCAGGTATAAGATTGGCTGGATGTGAAGGATCATCAGAATAAATCAAATCTCTCATTTTTTTTTAACCAGAATCTACTGAATTAAAATTGGTTTAAATAGAATATTTTGGTTGCATATATTAATCGTAACGTCAATAATTAGTTAAAATAGAAATTTGTAACAGTAATATAACGATGAGTTTGGATAAATCGGGCTTTCTAAAAGCATGACCTAGGTCGGCAGATTTTTTTGCAATGCCTAAAAACTTCTTTTCAACCCTGATTCCATTTCTGTAACAGTCACCAATACTATTTGTGCTATTTGTTCCAAGAGCATGCATGTCAGCAGATTTTAGATAATACTCAAAGGCTTTTTTTTTGCCCTTTACGACTCCAAGACCGCATAAATATCCTGTAGAGGCAGCTTTTGGATAGTAGGAGAATGCCTCATAATCATTTTTCTCAATCTATTTACCAAAACAATAACAATCTGCAAGGATAACCTAAATAGTAGGATTTATTTGATCATTCAAACACAAATTGATGATACTGTTTTTATTTTGCTTTTTTTTTGTTAGAATTTCATCAAATATATCAAGCATTATTTTGGAATTTTTACTCTCGTTTCTCTCTTCTTTCTCTTCTTCATATAAAACACATAATTCATAAACAATTTCGTTAAGTAACATGTTTAATCAAATAATAAATTTCAAACTTTAGGTTTTTTATAGAATAGAGAATTAAATCTTGGTTATATTTTTTAGTACTATAAACAAAAATATGGGTTTTCTATCTATTTGTTACACTTTAAAAAAACATTTTACCAAGTTTTTATATAATTATATAACATTACTTGTAACTAATAATAATTTTAAGGCCAGATTCCAACTCTGACAAGATTCGTGAATTATCGTATGCCAATATCGAGAGTAAAAATGCGCATACCCAAAAGTTTAAAAATTACCAGTACAAATATCAAAAAAATATATATATAAAGCTTCGTTTTTTTGTAAATTTTATAATCATATAATAATAATAATAATAATAGTTACTAATCGATTAATCGATTAATTGATTAATCAATAATCAATAATCGATTGGTCACTAATTGCTTGGTCAAAATCGATTCGTTGAATAAAATCGAATAAAATCGATAGTTGAATAAAATAATTTATCTATCATTTTACTATAATCGGACTGCCAAATAACTTTGGTTATTTGGCAGTTCGATCATAGTAAACTGCCGGATAACACTGTTATTGAATACTATGCATCAATAACTTGTTTATCTGACTTTTAGCCAGATAATGGAGTTATTTTTCAAATAACTATATATTATTAGCTAATTGATTGAAAAAATTTTGTAACACTAGCTATAATTATATATATATATTTTAAGAAAAAATATTGACTTAAATGTGAACATTAAAAATGTACAACACCGAAAGACTCTTAAATTTAATAAAAAATTTATTTATCAAAACAACCCTTCCCAATTCGGATTAGCACAATAAAAATGCTCTTCCTTAGTCTTTCATTGTACTATAATCAAATATTAGATTATTACTTTTGTTAACCTGATCCATACAATAAAGAAAATTTGTAATAGTATAAATATTTTCTCTGCTATAGTTTGAATATTCAACAAGAGATCTAATTTTTAAGTTCTAAGACAATCAATTTCCTCAACAACTTCCTACATTTCTCTAATCAACCTTAGCTAACTTTGCCTAGAATCTTTATCGCCATCACAAGGTGTTCTAGCTCTTATTGTTAAATATTTATGACTAAAAATGTTGACCTGTCCTTTGCCATGTCCTTGAGCATTTACCATTAAACTACCCGATTTATTAAGAATAACAAGAGCTGCTGCTACATCCCTTAAATAATAAATAAATAAGAACCAGTTGTGATGTAAAATTTTTTATATGGCATTAAAACATACAAATCATTCCCAACATCCAACCTTGAAATAAATATCAACACATCCTTTAGCTACATAACAAATGTCCAAAGCGGCACTGCCAATGCTTCTAATTCCTCTAACAAAACCGGCATTTTTAGATGACCAGGAAACAGCGCCAGGCTTTCGTAACAGGTTATGAACAGTATTGACTTGTTTGCTAATGATTTTGTTAGATCGATTAATGCCGTATTCTGAGATTACCAGACATTTAGAAAGAGACGAAGGTAACTGAAGTGGTGGGTTTGGATATGAAAGTGGAAGTCTAGTGGTATTATTTAGGAATGCTCTATGACCTTTACGGGCTGTAAAAAGCTTTTAGTATGTTAATTGAAAATGTTGTTTAAAAGATGTATATGAGAATAATTGAGGCAATTGTTTAAAAGAGATGTATAACAAAACTAGGAAATATATATTTTTACTTTATTAAGAAATGGATTAAATACTACGCCAACAACCGGTTTCTTGTTAATTGTTAGTCTGATAGAGACAGCAACGAATGGCAAACCATGAACAAAATTTGTCGTTCCGTCTAAATAATATTTTTTAGTGATGAATGCACAAATCAGTTTTTTTCATTAAAAGAATAAAATATATACCTATCAGATCAACAATCCAAGTTGGATCATTTGTGAATTCACATTCGTGTCCAGCAGCTTTTGTTTCTTTACCGATAAATCTTAAATTAATATATATATATCTATATTGAATTTTTTTAAAAAATAAGATCATGAAATATTTCTATATTTTTTGTAATAAAGAAAAAAACCTATGGTCAGGAAATTTTTCTTTTAGCTTTGACTTAATTAATTCCTTGATCAATTTATCGGTTTCAGTTACTAAATCTGTTAGATTATTAAATTTTAAATCAACTTTATAATTTGTAGAATATCTTGTATTTGATGAATCAAGAATTATTTGACCACACTATTGGGCTAATTTTGTGGTGACTTCTAGATAATGTTCTATAAATTTTTAATAAATTAGATTGATTGGCCAAATTATTTTCTGATAAATATATACTATCCTTGTTTACCTACAGAGTACATTTTTTCCTTGAGAATGGTAAAAAAAAAAAAGTAGAAATAGGCAAGTTTTTTAAAATTTTTAATCTGAAAATCATTTCCTCAGCACCTAATCGCTAATCTAAATCAAAATTAAATCGGAAATGATCTTATTCTAAAAATCGGGTTAAACCTAAGTTTAATAATATATTGAACAGATCACATCTATAGTGTCATAGGAAGACTTTCGTATGATTGGCTGTTTAAATCAATTTAGATTTACATTATTTATACAGTTTAAAGTACTTTTATAAAAAAATAAAACTACGAAGAATAAACAAAAAGGAAGTATATAGAAAGTTTAATTAGGATATTGAAAACTCTCTGTAGATCCTTAGTACAAAAATATTCTCAGACTCGTTCTATAACAAAAGTTCGTTTTTATAAATTTTTTATTAAGATAATCATATATAAATTTCTTACATTCTTGTTATTAAGATAAAAATTTTTTGACCCCACTCTCTAAAAAATACTTTCTGCTCTAACAAAACTTGATCCTCATCCAAAAATACATATACTATTAAAATTTTACAGAAATAACTTAAAACCTGCCAAATAACAGCCTCTTAGGCCAAATAAACTTCTTTCACCATTTATGCCAAAACTAGATTCTAAACCTCAGTTCAACCTTAGAACAAAGTTGTTCTACACATTCTTCTCTTCAAAATAAGCTATAAAAGACCTCTGTAGTCTCAATATCGATGCAGTTACAGTTAGAAATAAGTTCAACTCCTCTAGCTCTTTTATAATTTTATTTGTCTTTTCCCTTTTCTCTAACACTAAGTCGTTTTTCGAACAACAACCCATACCACACACGCCTAATAATCCTTAAAAATTAGTGGTTTATCTCAAATTGCACCAAACTCATTTAATTTATTTTTAATTTTACACAAACCTTACAAATTACAAATTTGTACTTATCGTTATACAGATTATTAATCCAACTTAGATAATTGCTTATAAAAGCTTAATCAGGTAAGAATCTATGATGTGAATATTTCTTGATCTATATCTAACATTAGTAGAATTCAAAAATCTAGCAGAATAAAATAAAAAATTGCACTTGTACCGATGTCCAAATTAACAGAGATCCAAAACCAATAATTATTCATAATGATTTACCAAATTTTAAAATTTTTAGAGAAGTATTTGACAAGTGGGTTGATTTTTCATGTTCTTTACCAGTTCCTATCGTTAAGGGTAGAGTATACGTAAATCATTTATTATATGATATGTGTTGTTGATCTTTTTGTGTAACAAATTATATAATAAACACAACTCTGATTGGGTAATTAGGGGTCCTTAAAGCAGGTCAGATCACGTGACAAACCGGTTTTCATTAACTTTAGAGTTAGGACTATACTTGCTAGCAAAACTCCTGGGATTTGGGATTTGTCCATAGACAAACCCGGGATGAATGACGTGGAGGCATATATATTATTAAAATAAATATAAACCAATAACCGATGAGGTAAATATGCCACAGTTCCCGGAAAGAATTAGGTAATAAAGTTTTGTAGAGCTGGGCAGAGTGAATTTTATAGTAATTTTATGAGTAGGATTAGAAAATTTCGCTTATACAAAATTTCCGAAAACAAAAAAGGTTTAGTCAAAATGAGAATATCATATAACTCAATGATCTGAACTATATCACCTGAGTCACGTCATTTATAATCATCTAATGCAGTTAAAGTAATTTCCAAAAAAAGAAAAAAGATATAAAAAAGCAAGTATGAACATAACAGAAGGAAAAAATGTGATGAAACACAAAGGTAACATTCAGACATTTCTAAAATAAGTAAGTTGAATGATAAAGATCTTTAAATAGAAAAAGTATCATTATACAAGTTTCAAACCTAAATTCAACTTTAAAGTTTGTATATTAAACAACATTAAACAATAAACAGTCTTTCGGCATTCAGACTCCGACAAAATTCAAATTAGGGTTTTTAAAATTTCTTTTTTCGAATTTTGGCATCTATAACTGTTGCAAACATAGTGTGATCAGAGGATATATCATACAATCTGTACTGCTACAATATGAGTGTTGTCAAGAGAAAACCTACATGTCTGAAAATAGATTATTATGAAAAACATAATCTATTTTTAGACTTGTAGACGACACTCATATATATTTTCGAAATTATAATAATAAATGAACTGATTTACCATTACAATTACTATTATTCACGCAACTTTCGATTACACTTTATTAACTAACAAAGGATAATCATTTGAAGATATATCGTAATGTCTTACTATCTGTTTTAGGACAATGGCAGACGAATAAGGATTCGATTCTACCACTACAGCTATAATTTCATCATAAAAAACTTTTATATGCATTTTCAAAAAAGTTCATTTATATTGTCATGAATATTACAGATGAGTTTTCTCTTTTAAACAACTTTTTGTTGTGTGTAAAAAATTTAAAGAAAATTTGTCATGGAGATTTAAAAACTGTTGAATTTAAAGAAGGAAAGTTAATTGTCACAAGGGAAACTTTGGAAGAAAGCATAATGTTGCAAAAAAGAAAACGTCATATTCGACAAGATGCACTCAATCTAGATAAATTGGAGGAATTTATCAGCATGTAAACATAGAATTTATCAAAATAAAAGCTAATTATAATTTTGGTATTTCCTATTAATTACTCACATTTATATTAAATTTTTAGTTCGTAATTATAAAATCCAATCCATAAATTATTAGTTCTAATTATTTATTTGTTAAATTCCAAATGACAAAGTTTTTCTAAATTTAATTAATTTAACATTCGTTTACATAAGTACTAGTCGGTGAGTATTGATATTTAAAAAAAGCATATTACTTACGTTATGTTTCTAAATAAATAACTTTCATGTTATGTATGATGTAAGTTGGTAAGTTTAAAAGTAAGTTTTATACTAATTTTAACCAGAGCTTCATGATAAATAATTCAATTAATCATATATACAGCAGCTATGATAATCGAAAAGTTTGGATAGATGACGCAATAAAAACTGGACAAGTAAAATTAATAGGTTTTAACCAATTTACTGATCAAATGAGAATTACCAGAGGAGGTTTTGCCTCGGTCTTCAGTGCTATATGGAACAAATTTAATGGTCGCAAACAAAAAGTTGCTCTCAAAGTATTGCATGAAAATAATGATCCGGTTGATGATAAATCGAAAGAATTAAATGAATTCTATAAGGAGGTTGGTATAAAAAATTTTTAATATTGATAGCATTACATTTATGCTAAAATTTGTTTTTCATTGAAGATTCAACTTGCTAAAACTGTGAATACACATCCTAACATAGTAAATTTTTATGGTTTTAGTATTAGTATATAAAAACTATTTAAATGTTTCATATTAAGTAAAAAATTATTCTAACATTAATCATTAATAAGCTTTTTTTTAAAAAAACAGATGCATATAAAAGGTGTTTAGTTTTTGAATAGGCAGACATTGAAGATCTTTGAAACTATTTAAAAGTAAGGAAAATAAATTGGAAACAACATCATAAAATGGCAAGAGATATCGCCTATGGACTTAAATATATTAATAATAAAAAAATAATACACCGTGACCTGGTATTTATAAGTTGAAAATATTAATTGATATATTTTTGAAGCCTTCCTATCTAATTTCTATCCAATCTTATTTAACAGTATTCAAAAAATATATTGGTTCATAGAGACGAATGAATGATTATCACAGACTTTGGCATATCTAAATCCACATATTCAACCTCTAAATCCAACAAATGTGGAATGATAGCATATATCGATCCACTTTGCCTTGGGGATCTACAAAGATCAAGAACATTTAAGTCAGACATTTATAGCTATGGGGTTTTACTTTGGGAAATTTCAAGTGCAGAAATTCCATTTTATGAACTGTCTGACATTGAAATACTTCTTAAAGTTGTCGATGGTATCCGCATGATTCTTGTTGAAAATATATTTATACACAAGCATGGCATTCAGATGATTCATTATGTCCAACCATTGATGGTATATTGGAATATTTCTCTGAAGTTCAAGACTTTTATCTCAGTTACTAAGATGACTTATACTATCATGGGCTAAAATCCAATTATGTTTACCAGATTGACAAATTAAATTCTGTTTCCAAAGTTACTAATTAAAAATTGTTACATTCACTTATACAAAATTTGAGATTTCAACATTGTTAGTATTATTACAAATATTTAAGTTGTTTACATTACTGATAGTGATATTAACTCGATATTATAAGGAGTAGCTATGATATTATCGTTGACTATAAATAGGTTTTATAAAATTTTATTGTTAATCCTAAATATAGCAGTTTTTAGTTGTTATACTAGTTACAAATCAATACCTGTAACATCAATCATTTGGATTAAAAATGTCACTATATCAACGTGGATGCTTGCTATTTCTTCTTTGTTGCTTGAAGTGAAGTTTCTTTTATTTTTCTAAGCTATTGAATTTTGTGGGGCTTATTTTACAATAATTTTTGAGGAGCACAAAGAGTTTCATTTTTAATGAACTTAGAGTTTATAATATTTGCTTTTGCACACTCATTGCATCTTTTATTACGCCCTGCTACTGAGTTACCCAAGCTATTCATCTGACCCAAATAATCCATGGAACCTGACTATTTATTTATCCAAATAGCACTTTTAATAACAATATATTAATTATTAATACAGCATTCTTGCAGTTTATATGATGATTATAGGTATATTTTAAAGCAAAAATTAAGTATAATTCTGAGCATAATTTTAAGCAGAATTAATATATAAATTAAGGCAAAATTATAGTATAAATTTAGGCGAAATTAAAATATTATTCCAGACAAAATTTGATACAAAATTAAAATAAAATTAGGCAAAAAAATTATCTTTATTTTAGCTTGAATAATCAACTGTTTTTTTTCGGTTTATTATAAGGAATATAAAAAGTTATACAAGAGAATTTTTTTTTTGTGACAAAAAATGTTTATTGTTTATACCTGTTGCAAGTCAATTTTTCTGTACCCGATTATTTTCGGGTATCTGTAAATCGTGAAAAATCGATCTCATGGGGTGCCGAACCCACCCACTCGAAAGGAGATTATACTAATTAAGGTCATATATAAAAATCTCATAATAAATCGACCGTTTTGTTTTATAACCTTCAAATTGCAAATTTTGAAATTCATTGGGTACAAAAATGCGTAAAAAAAACCGGTTTACTTGAGTCGTACCAGAGCCAAGGCAGGATTATTTCGCTATCGAATTATGGCTCACAGGAACTCGATGGAGCTTGAATATGCTATGCAGTAAATTCTTGATCATATATAGGAATTCACCCAGCAAACCGGAACCCATATACAGATAACATTTATGATTCGGTAAATCTAAGTTCATATATTATAATTTTTTTATCAAAGTAATTTTCAAATCAAAAATTATTTACTTTTAACTACAAATTTGATACTAATGCCAAATTTAAAAAATCCAGAATATAAAACTCAAGTAATTAACTAATAAATATTGAGAAGATAACAATCGCAAATATGTGAAGTAGTGTTTTGGGCGAAATTATATATTTCGCCCAGGTGAAATATATTTCGCCCAAAAGCCTGAAATCTAATAATTCTGAAACTGGTGAAATTGGCAAAATGTCTGAAACCTGGCAAAATATCCAAAAATTGGCGAAATGTCTGAAAATTGGCAAAACTGAAATCTGGTGAAAGTTCCGAAATCTAACATTAGAATTTTTATTAAAAAAAATATCTAAAGTGTAGTAAAACTAAGTGTTGAGATATCTTCACTCAAAGATTTAAAAAACCTAAACCATCTATCAAAATAAGAGCTGCACCAAACTGAAGTTAACCTTTGAGCGAAGATATTTTGATACTCACCAAGCCAAATTTAATAAACTTTTTTTATTTAAATTCCATGAATCTGTAGAATTCAAATAAAAAAAATGTTTATTGAATTTGGCTTGGTGGGTGTCGTGATATCTTCACTTAAAGATTTAAAAATTCAAAACGTCTATCAAAAAGAGCTGCGCCAAACTTTTTTTTAAACTTTGAATGAAGATATTATGACACCTACCAAGCCAAATTCGAAGAACTTTTTTTATTTGAATTCTACAGATTTATAGAATTTAAATAAAAAAAGTTTGTCAAATTTGACTTGGTGAGTGTCGAGATATCTTTACTTAAATATTTAAAAAAATCCAAAATATCTATCAAAAAAAGCTGCTGCGATAAAATTGTCATGGCAGATTCTTAATTTTAATTGGCTAAGAACAACGATCAAAAAATAGGCCTAATAGCTCATAATTTTACTAATGAAATCACAAGTAAAAATTGTTCTTCCAATTTTAAAAAATTTCTATTTTTGTAAAGAAAAATTAAAAAGTTAATTCCAGCCAGAAATTAGTAAACAATTATGTAATGTGGGCCAAAATTTCGAAGATTCTAGGCCATTAGCCAACCAAATTCGAGGATCTGCCATGACACTCAGCTATGGTTAATATCAAGAAAAGCTGCGCCAAACTTTTTTTAAACTTTGAGTGAAGATATCTTGACACTAGGGACATGGAGAAAGTGCAATTTTATTTATAGGATTTGAAAATCCTATAAATAAAATTGCATTTTCCCCATGTTCCTGCTCGTCACCAACCAAGCCAAATTTGAAGAACTTTTTTTTTGAATTCTACAGATTTGTAGAATTTAAATAAAAAAAAGTTTATCAAATTTGACTTGGTAAGTGTCGAAATAACTTCACTCAAAAATTTAAAAAATTCAAACCGTCTATCAAAAAGAAGAGCTTCGCCAAACTTTTTTATTGGAGAATTTCGCTATTTTGGTTTCACCAGATTTCAGAGTTTTCTCCAGGTTTCGGAAGTTTTGCCCATTTTTGTCCATTTCAGAAATTTCAGTTTTATTTCGCCTTTGGGAGCATTTTGGTTTCGCCTTTCAGATTTTGGAAATAGATTTCACCCGAAACACTAATGTGAAGCTTGAATTTGTAACTACAAAATTTACAGTCAGACCTCTATATAGTCACATTTTTTATAATCACACCTCTACTGTATATAAGCACTTAATTTTGTTAAATAAACTACTATAAATATATAAAAAAAAACCTCTGTATAAGCACATTTTTAAAAAAAGTTCTTATGCTCCCAACTAAATAGAGGGTTGACTGTATAAGATTAAAAGGATTTTCTTAATTAATAATATCTAAATTATTAAACTTGCCAATTTTTTTCCAATTGTTGACTTTTAATTCTTAATCTTTCAATTTCATCATGAAAAATTGAAAAATTCAATTGATTCGCCAGACTAAAATTGGCCATAAAATATAGTTGTTGATATATTATTAACTAACTGAAAAAAATATATATAGTAAAAAATATAATAAACCTTACAAAAAAGTATTACAATTTTTAACCATTCTATATGCATTTTCAAGTTCATTCTTCAATAGATTTTCTAATTCCAATTTTGAAGACATTTTAATTTCGTTCAAGATCTTACTGACAATATTCTACATTTTAATCAGAGATTATCATTGCAATAATGTGACCACATAATGGTAATGAATAATATAGTACAATTAAATATTGAAATATATATATAACAAACAAAAAAAATAAAGTCTGAAGAGTTCTTATCAACTATTGAGTAATTATATTTAAAGTAGAATTAATCATTTTTAAGGCATTTGAATTACAGAATTGGATTTGCTAAATAGTTGCAAAAAACCTGACTGAGTATACCTTAGCAGGAACCTTTAAATTTTGCTAAATATGTCTGCCATATAGCTATTATATAGTTACGAATGCGATCCGGATATCTGTTAATTCAATGCTATAATAAAATTATTATAAAAAATCCGGATATCCGTAATTTTTAAATGGAAAAATGGATAACAAATCACATCTCCGCATGAGAGGTATGCGATGTTCATAGAGGAAAATTAATATAATTGAATAATAAAAAACTGAAAATTTTATTGAAGTTATAAAACTGACCAATCAAGAAAATTCTAACCTTCTTATTTGCGTGTAGTAACTTGATTTTGAACCCTTTATATAATTTTTTAATTACATAGTTTTGTGTGTTGTAGAATTTGCTAATCATGCGAACTTTCCTTATTACTAGCACGTGCAAACTTATTAAAAATTATATTTTATATTTATATCTATATAATCATGTACAGTTACTATCTTCTATTGTTTTATTTAATATATTAAATCATTATTTTTAAATGTTATTTTAAAAAAATAAAAAAAAGTATATTAATTTATAATCAACGCAAAATCCAAGTTGCACGACATGGACGTTACACACAAGCAGCGGCTCACAAGGAATGGTAAAGGAGGATAAGAAAATGAATTTGTTAAAACAAGAATAATCTTAAAAGTGGTCAGAAAGAATACAAATTAAAAAAGGGCAATTACAAGTCTTCCAAGCCCACCAGCCAGATAATGAT